CATGGAGCGGTGTTTATCTAGTGCACACTCACAGTAGTCGGGCCCCTTCGGAGTGGTCAGGGCTCCGCGGCGGGTTAGCAGCTGCGGGTTCCTACGTTAACCTAAAAAAAAAAAGTATATATGCTATTTTGTACTTAAAATTTTGATCAATACAATTTATTTACCTAATAAAAAAAGTATATATGCTCTTTTTCGTGGATATCACATTTTCTGTAAATTAAAGCCCACGTTCTTATGGTTATTATTTTGAGAAAAAATGAGTGTTGAATAAGGTCAAAAAATAGGGAAAAGTTTTGAGTTTAAGTGTAAGATATTTTATTTTTTAAATTTGTGGTTGAAAACGAGTAAGAAAATTAAAGAGTTTTGAAATAATTGTTGTCAAACATAGGCTAAAAATTTATATACCGATTTAAAAAATCAACTTACTCAATTTTAAATTTAATACATATTTAGGCCTTTTTGACGTAGATTAAAAATAGAGTTTTAGTAGATTTTGGTAAAAATTAATGAAATATGTGATTAGAAAATCGTGGAATTCATGAAATAAGTGATTAAAATTAATTATTAATTTTGATTTAAATTTGAATTTTATTTGGGGAAATGCTACAAGTACATTAGGGATGCCATGTGTCCATTACAGCACCCCTAATGTACAAGAAAGAATTATCCTTTTATTTGGTACCAACCAGGGGCCAAAACTGATTTACGTTAAACAAGAGGTATTTTATATGTAAGTATTAAAAAAAAAAAAGAAAGAATATATCAACTCACTGCACGCACCGTAACCGGTAAAGTTATCGCCGTTCGACCTTTGCTAAAATGCGCATTCATGCCTCCATGTGGCCCAAAACCGCCCTTCATTCACATGAAGCACGATAGTAAACGCGCACCGGGCTCTTGCGATTGCTTGGCCCCACTTGCCCAAAAACTCAAAAACATTAGCATTTCTAGATCAATAGGTCACCAAACTTTGACTTCTATTGCATATTGGTTCATAATCTTCAAATCCTAGCATTTATGTATCTAATGTTTTATTTTTGTAGCACTTAAGTCTTTATTGGACAATTTTATAAAAGTAATGACATTAGTTATTAATTGTGAGGTGATATTGTCCATTTTCATTTGTCTTCGAATTCATTAAATCCCCACTTGAGTTCGAATTAAAACTTTTTTTTTAAAATTCATTTTCAATTACACATTTTTATAAAAAAAAGAATTTTTTACAAAATTTATTCTAAAAAATAGGACTCTAACAAGAGCTAAAATGCACCACAAATCAGTTGAACAATCAATCAAAGGATCCAATGCCATAATCACCATTATTTACAAACAACATTACTCATTTTATAATTGTCTTTAATTGACAAGCTAATCTTTTTCTTTTTTTTTTTGAAAAGACGGTATGTTGCGTTTTTTATATCGCAAGTATACGATATCGTAAATAATAGTATAGTGGACTTTTGAGTTCGAATATCGTTCCCACGAGAACTATACTAAAGGACTTAATCTAATTTTTCTAACTCCTATTTGATAAGAACAAATAAATAATTATGATAGTTGTGATT